TGAGGGAAAATTATGAATTTTGCGCTATGACAATTTTAATTAGCAAAACTTAAATAATGACCTTTTTAAAAAAAAATATGTTTTTGAAAAAGCTCGTTTTAAAAAAATTCTTTTAAAGAGCAATGATTTGTATTTGATCAAGATTCCAATAGTGTTCTTTGGGAAAAGTTATTGTTTGCAACAAATTTTAAACATATGAAAAATAAATAAACCACACAAATATAATCTGAAAAAACATGAATATATTGATAAATATGTGGGTACAATTCTGTTCCTTCCTTAATTCTACTCTCCTAAGATTTATCCATGATTCGAGGGTTGTTAGTGGCGTATTTCTCGAACTAAAATGATTTAGATTTGACCTCTATATGAATATTCCATCAACTTATGGAATATTCAAGATCTTGATCTTTAAAAATACCCAAGAGTTTATGGGATATTTTGAGATGCCTTTTCAGGGAATTTAGTATCCTTTATATATGCATAAACTAGGGTTTAGGGTTGAGTAACCTCCAAGAATTCTAATTGAAACTGAACACACTTTCTAGAGTCCCAATTCGAATTGAACACGTCTTGTAGAGTCCGCAAAATTTCAACTTCTACAAATGCCCCCTGCTTCAAGGCTTGTCGGAGTGTAGACTCGATGAAACTCAAAGACGAGGCTTGAAGTACTCATTCTTCCACCTTTGCAGCTTCAGATTTTCAGATTTGATTTAACAGAGAAGAGATAAAGAGCAGATTTAGTCCCACTGGGCGTGCCAATTTGTTTGCAACAAATTTTAAACATATGGAAAATAAATAAATCACAAAAATAAAATATGAAGAAACATGAATATCTTGATAAATATGCAAGTACAATTTTGTTCCTCCCTTGATTCTACTCTCCTAAGATTTATTCATGATTCGAGGGCCGTTAGTGGCGTATTTCTCGAACTAGAATGATTTAGATTTGACAATGCCCCCTGCTTCAAGGCTTGTCGGAGTGTAGACTCGATGAAACTCAAAGACAAGGCTTGAAGTACTCATTCTTCCACCTTTGCAGCTTCAAATTTTCATATTTGATTTAAGAGAGAAGAGATGAAGGGCAGATTTGGTCCCACTGGACATGCCAATTTGTTTACAACAAATTTTAAACATATGAAAAAATAAATAAACCACAAAAATAAAATCTGAAGAAACATGAATATAATGATAAATATGCGGGTACAATTCTGTTCCTCCCTTGATTCTACTCTCTTAAGATTTATCCATGATTCGAGGGCCGTTAGTGGCGTATTTCTCGAACTAGGATGATTTAGATTTGACATCTATATGAATATTTCACGTCTTTTGTGGAATATATCGAGGTCTTGATCTCATTGTGGAATTTTTGAGATGTCTTTTTAGGGAATTTAGTACCCTTTACATAGGCATAAACTAGGGTTTAGGGTTGAGTAACCTCCAAGAATTCTAATTGAAACTGAACACACCTTCTAGAGTCCCAATTCGAATTGAACACGTCTTGTAGAGTCCACAAAATTTCAATGTCTACACTACCATTTTTATCTTCTCAAAAATGTTTTTGTTATTATGCAAAAATACTTATGTTTTTCTTAAAAGTTTGATTTAACGCCTCAATTTTAAAATAAATATTTTTGGTAGCTTGACCAACATTTTGATCTTTAATTAACTAAAATTGTTGTTTTGATCCATGTGATAAATGGGAGTTAATAAAATTAACATAATACCCCCATCGTCCCTAATTACTTGTCCACTTTTTCTTTTATAGTTGTCCCTAATTACTTGTCCATTTTGACAAATCAAGAAAGGACAAATTCATTTTACCTATTATACCCTCAATTAAATGACTAATTATTTTGAAAAATGTAGAACTTTTCATCCACTTCATAATTAATAGGGGTAAAATGGTAAACTCACTATGTCATTAATTATTTTCTTAATAAGTGTGTCAATTCAAAAGTGGACAAGTAATTAGGAATAGAGGGAGTAATATTTATTGAAATTTTTTAAGTGTGAACATAAATGAGAACACATCTCCATCCTCCCACAATTAATAGTTATTGGGATTGATGTTGCTTCGTTCTCTCTTGGGCATCATTTTCAAAACAAAATTAAAAAAAATTAATGATAGTGTAATTTGATATCATTTATTGAGTTCGTTCAAATTCTGTCTGTTCAATTATCAGTATTGAAAATATTTGTTGGGATTAATATTTCTTCTCTCTCTTGTGTGCATTGTTTTTAAAACAAAATGAAGTAAATGATATTGTGGTCTATTATTATTTATTGAATTCGTTGAAATTCTGTCTATTCAATTATCAGTATTTTTGGAATTAATATTTCTTCTTTCTCTCTTGTGTGCATTGTTTTGAAAACAAAAACGAAGTAAATGATAATGTGGTCTACTATTATTTATTGAATTCGTTGAAATTCTGTGAGTTCAATTATTAGTATTGAAGAATAATATTTCGTGATATTATGGAAAAAATTAATCCTAATCTAGACAATTGCAAGAAAATTAAATTCTTTTAAAACAAGATAATCTTTTATTAGACTCAAAACTTATTTATCCTACATTTTTTTAATTTTTATTTCCAGTATATTCCTCGAATGTGAGGACCGGAACATGTACTAAGGTTGAAAATATTCATATATCCTATATAAATATATCATTAATGTTGTTTACATTAAAAAGAAGCGAGAAAAAAATCAAATATGTCCTTTTAATTATATATGTCATTCATTAATAGTTGAGTTGAATTTATTTGTATATTTGTCGTGATACAATGTAAAAATTGTGCAACTTTTCATTAACAATTAAAAAAAATAAAAAAATATACGTGTTATTAATTTCTTCACTAACAACTCAAATAATTAGAAAATATATGTATTATCAAACTCTTCAGAAAAAAAAATCAAGTAATAAAAAATAGCAAGTGTTTTTAATCTCTTCACTAACAACTCAAATAATCAGAAAAATAGATGTGCTATCAATCTCTTCACTAACAACTTAAATAGTCAGAAAAAACAAGCGTTATCAATCTCTCCACTAACAACTCAAATAATTAAAATATACACGTGTTATCAATTTGTTCATCAACAATTCAAATAATTAGAAAATAGTGTTATCAATCTCTTCACTAGCAACTCAAATAATTAAAATTTGCATGTGTTATCAATCTCTTCACTAACAACTCAAATAATAATAAAATTTGATATCATTTATTGTGTGCATCATTTTCAAAACAAAACAGAAAAAAGTTAATGATAATGTAATTTGATATCATTGATTGAGTTCGTTGAAATTATGTTCGTTCACTTATCAGTATTGAAAATATTTGTTGGGATTAATATCTCCTCTCTCTTGTGAGCATTAATTTTAAAACAAAACAAAGTAAATAATATTGTGATCTACTATTATTTATTGAATTCGTTGAAATTCCGTGAGTTCAGTTATTATTATTGAAGAATAATGTTTCGTAATATTAAGAAAAAAATTAATCCTAATCTAGACAATTACAAGAAAATTAAATTCTTTTAAAAAATATAATCTTTTATTAGACTCAAAACTTATTTATCCTACATTCTTTTAATTTTTATTTCTAGTATATTCCTCGAATGTGAGGACCGGAACATGTACTAAGGTTGAAAATATTCATATATCCTATATTATATAAATATATCATTAATGTTGTTCACATTAAAAATAAGTGAGAAAAACTCAAATATGTTGAGTTGAGTTTATTTGTGCATTTGTCGTGACACAATGTAAAAATTTGTGCAACTTTTCTTTAACAATTCAAAAAATATAATAAAATATATGTGTTATTAATGTCTTCACTAACAACTCAAATAATTAGAAAATATATGTATTATCAAACTCTTCACAAAAAAATCAAGTAATAAAAAATTGCACGTGTTTTTAATCTCTTCACTAACAACTCAAATAATATAGAAAAATACACGTGCTATCAATCTCTTCACTAACAACTCAAATAGTCAGAAAAAATAAGCGTTATCAATCTCTTCACTAACAACTCAAATAATTAGAAAATACACGTGTTATCAATCTGTTCAGTAAGAATTCAAATAATTAGAAAATACACGTGTTATCAATCTCTTCACTAGCAACTCAAATAATCAAAATTTACATGTGTTATCAATCTCTTCACTAACAACTCAAATAATGATAAAATTACACGTGTTATCAATCTTTTCCCTAACAACTCAAACAATAATAAAATTACATGTGTTATCAATCTCTTTGCTAACAACTCAAATAATCAGAAAATACACGTGTTATCAATTTCTTCACTAACAACTCAACTAATCAGAAAAATACATGTGGTATCAATCTCTTCACTAACAAGTCAAATAATAAGAAAATACAGATGTTATCAATCTTCCCTAACAAATTAAATAATCAGAAAATACACGTGTTAAATCTTCACTAACAAGTCAAATAATTAAAAAATACAGATGTTATATCAATCTCTTCACTAACAACTTAAATAATCAGAAAATATACGTGCTATAAATCTATTCACTAACAACTCAAATAATCAGACAATATATGCCTTATCAATCTCTTCACTAACAAATCAAACACATATATTATCGATCTCTTCATCAACAACTCGAATACACATGTTATCAATCTTTTCCCTAACAAACTATACAAATAAAAAAAAATACACGTGTTATAAATCTCTTTGCTTACAACTCAAATAACCATATTATACACATATATTGTCAATCTCTTTACTAACAAACTCAAATAATTAGATTATATACATATATTATCAATCTCTTTACTAACAAGCTCAATTAGTCAAATAATATACGTGTTATCCATTTAAATGATCTACGTTACGTAATTATCCCGAATTAAATTTGACGCGCAAAACCGACCCGACCCGACCCACCTACTTCCCTATAAAATCCAATTAAGTTCTCATTTCAATCACTTCATCATGATCCCAAATACCTAACCCACCCCCAAATCAGTTCTTCATTTCTTCAATGGCGAAAAAAATCATGGCGATGGTAGATCGACTCAGTGATTTGCCTGAGCCAATTCTAATTCACATTCTTTCTATGTTGCCGGACGGTAAAGATGTTGTGAGAAGTAGTGTATTATCTAAGCGATGGCGGTTTCTTTGGAGGTCTGTTCCAATATCACTGGATTTTAGCTTCCCTGAGGATACTTATTTAGGTCTCCCTGAGAGTGGGGAATTGGAGATTCTCGATTTCGTGAATTCCACCCATAGAGAGCTTCTATATTGGGGGTCTGGTCTGAAAATCAGAAAATTTAATGTGGTTGTCAATTTTTCTGTTCCGGAGAGGTTCGATAAAGATATCGATTTGTGGGTTTATTTTGCGACTAAGAAAGCTAATGTTGAAGATTTTACTCTTGAGTGTTTATCTGGATACAAGTTACCTCAGTTTGCGTTTAAGAATTCGTCCTTGAGGAATTTGAATTTACAGTACTGTAAGTTGAAATTGGAACCTTCCGTTAATGTGAACTGGAGTAATCTAGTTTCTCTTTCAGTTGGATATGTCAAATTGACTGAGGGTGTCATGAGAAAAATATTGTCGGGTTGTCCTAACTTAGAGTGCTTGCTATTGGACTTCATTTGGGGCTTTGATCGTCTCGAAATAAGCAATGTGAAGTTGAAAAAGTTGACCATAAACAGCTATGAAACTAGTGAATGTGATGTTTGGCTTGAAATATTAGCTCCGCATATTCAAAATTTGGAACTTTTGGGGTATTCCAGTGGGATACGTTTGAGAAATGTGGCTGCACTTGTCACTGCATTCTTTCGCATAGATTTTCAGTTTGATTTTGGAGAGGCAGACAGATCGGAGAAGAGTGAGATTAGTTGTTTGAAGGAACTTCTTCACAGCGTTGCCCATGTCAAGAATCTGGAATTGAGTCACTGGTGCATTAAGGTTTATTTATACTCTTCATTATATAGAATTCAGAATATATTTTTTCATTTCTTATTTGCTATTAAATCCATTAGTTTATTACCATAAGTCCATAACCAATTTGGTATGTACCTAGTAAACACTTACATTCTTATGCCAATCTAATTAGGCAGTGATCGAGACAGGACCTTTTGGACAAATTTTTAGATGAAGAACATTTAGAATAAATAATTTGCAAGGGACATAACAACATGTAAAATTTGGATTCATTTACATTGATCATAATCTTTTAGTCATGTGAATGGGGTTTTCAAAGTGTTTAATATCCATTTTTGGATCTCGAAACCAACCTTGAACACTGTTTAACAATTCACATGTCATTTGTTAAGTATGTCACATTTCTTTGTTCTGACATAATCCGGTTATCTATTTGGTTTACAAGTGTATGTCCACACTGGCATTGGAAGGCTTCCAGTATCAACCATCGAGCTCAAGATTCTTAAAACTTCACACAAACTATGAAGAGTTGGACCTCCCAGGAATTTGCAGCTTTATACAGAATTCATCAAATATTGAGACATTGATCATTGACTGGCACCATCAAGATCGAGGAGTAAGTTTTCTTTACACCCTCAATTCTGTTACTTCACGTTATCAATATCAAATAATTATTTTATTTTTTCTTGAAATGGAATAAGAAATAACTATTAATGGAAGAAGACGACGATATATATCAACATATTTTTTATCTTAAGTGAAGAAAAAGATCATATGTTTTCCTAAAATTTAAACCATCTTGCTTGTACATTTCTCGGCCCCACCTCTTTAAGAAAAGGTAACAAATGAACTAGTTCAATCCTCAAGTCTGAGAAGATTGAGAAGGTTCAATCTTTGAAAAAAGCGTGGGAGATAAGCCTCTAATGTGTAAGCAAAAAGCGGGTTTCTGTATAGGAGGTGGGATCCTATATACACTCTGAAATATAACTAGCCAAATTACTTGATGAACCTTACAACAATAGCTTCTAACTTGTATGGATACTTGCTCCCAGTTCATTGTTCCCGTAAGAACTAAAAACGATAAAAACTGAGGAGTATTTTCAAGTAGCATGTGAGCTCACAGAAAGATCTGAGGAGTATTTTTGCGCCTTGCCTCGCTTCACGCTTCTCGCTTCCCAAAACACTGATATTCCTCAAGAAAATAGTTCACCTCGAGTTTCTTTAACAGAGATTTGTCACTGTCAAAGTTGATTCTATGAGTAATCTGCTTCTATAATGACCTTTTTTTTGTGAAAAAGAAGTTTAACAAGGAATAGTACTCACCTATGCTAAGAGATAAAGGACCAGCTTCAATAAAGCATAGAATATTTTTCTTTTGTTGTTTGCTTATACCACTTTGTAACTTTTGCTAAGCACTTGACTTGTTCCTTGAATCTAAAAAATAATTCATCACCTTTTTATTTTATCTAACTATCAATTCATTGGCTTTTACGTCCATCTGAGGAGAATAACTGGTTAATGTTTGCGAATTCTTTCGTGCAGTACTTATATGCGTATTATTTTAAGGATAAGGAAAGGCAAATCAGGACGTTTGAGACACATAAATTTAACTGCTCATTGCTACGTCTGAAGACTATCAAGTTCATTCACTTGGTTGGACCATTAAGTGTAAATAAGTTTGTTCTTCCATTGGTTAAATATTTGCTTGAGAATGCAATCGTGCTAGAAAAGTTCGACATAGCTGCCAGATGCAAAGAGATTGATGTGTGTCTCGATCAGATTAGAATTGAACAGGAGCTCTTGAGCTTTCCAAGATCCTCTTCGCATGCTTCAGTTACCTTTTCCAATCAAAGATCTTTGCCACCTCTACTTTTGCATCAATCACAACATGCTTAACAGTTGTTACTTTTATGTTTGAAATTGGTTTGTTGCTATAGACAAGGTTAGGGTTCTACTTTTCAGTAATCAGTATCCAAGGAGTTTATGGTATTTCTTCATGTCTAAGTACTTAACAATGTGTCTATTATCTGATCATCATGTTCATGTGTGAACTCTTGTTCCAAATGCTTTGTGATATATATTCATATTGCTGAATCATGGTCATTTTGCAAAAAAAATAGTAATTCTAGATTCATTATGTGTCCAATGTTTTGTTTCTGTTAGCTTATGTTATTAACACAAACATATGAGATCCTGCACTGCAATTAGTAAGAAAGAGTAAGTTCATAGGATTGTGTGCAAATCCCTCTGATATCATTTGAGAATACAAACTCTGCCCTCTTCTTACAGTCAAGTGTCCTTTCCTTCTCTTTGCTATTGTCAAATAGAACTAGAATAGATATTTTTTGTTTCCTACTTACACGAGCCTATATCCTTGCTTTTCTATCAATTTCTAATTCTGATCTTCCTCCCCAATTTGTTACTGACCAGTATTTCATAAGCTTATATGAACTTTGAAAATACACTTTTGATAGAAAAACATACCTACATTATGTGTTTCTCATATATTGCACTAAATCAGTGCTATAATAAGTAATACTTTTTTACCATTTTGATAAAGGGGATAAAGTAATTAAATGGAGAAAACAGGCTCGGAGTGGTTGCTCCGCTTCCTCTGGATTGTTTAATAGTGTTACCATTATGATGATTGAAATGGATTGTGTGGTAACCCGGAGTGAAGTGATTTCAAAATGAATTGAGGAGCTTAGAGGGCCAAGTTCGCTGGTCTTTCATTAGAAACTTATATACGGGATTCAAACAAATACCAGGATTTGATAGTTTGGATTTGAACGTGTGACTTGAAGTAATTTTTGAACCCCCTTTACCACTACACTAGAATTTTTTTTTGACGACAAGGGAAACCCGTAGCCGCTACCCTTTTGGGTGCACACAGTGTAAAACCTCCGCTCCTATGCAATAGCTCGCAAACCACATAGGAGAGGTAACCCACATTAGGCAAGCCTGGTGCGACGAGCTCAACCCAGAAGGCAAACCCCTTGCTTTCGCTGGCAAGGGGTTTCGAACTTGAGACCTCCAACATGGAAGTCCCAAGCCCAAACCACTGGGCCACCTCGAAGGGTCACTACACTAGAAATTTTCCTTATGTCAAAGGGATTCAACAACTTATATGTAACCAAATATGTTCAACTTTATCCTACTTATGAGTATAGTTTTTCACCTTCCTTTCACCTAGTTCCTCCACTGCATGGAGGGGTTTGTGATCATAATATTTTTCTTTCGGTGTATGTGAACAATACTTTTTATGAGCTTGTAAATATGCATTGTAAGTAAATCTATTCAAATAGATAGGTATCGATGACCGAACTACTCTTATATTACTTTGTACCTCATCCTCGTCACATAACAAGGACGTTAGAAGGTATGAAAGAGTCTTCATGTCTATCCTTCTCTCTGAATTTCTACTACTAACTATCCCTCATTGTTTGAAATAGCTTAGAAATACCTTCTTTCTTTTATGAATTTTCTCCAGCCTAAATTGCAAGTTTCTCACTGAGAGCTAAATCCACAAGCCACAGCTTGTTCTTTGTGCACTCAAAATTGATCTAATTTATAGCTTTTTACCATAATACAAATCATATTTTTTTATGACCGTGGTGTCCGGGTCAACTTTAGCGCACCTTGACTAATTTCACGGAATACCTACCACCTCCACCTTACACCAACAACATGTACCAGGTAACTCTGTCCACCACGCTAAGAGCCTAGGTTTTTTGTCTCCATTGAGTTTTGAACCTGAGACCTCAAGCCTTAAGGTTTTCAACCACTTCCTTGACCAGTAGGCCACACCCTTTGGTGCACCATAATAGAAATCATGTTGAATGAAAGTGAAATGAGAAATACGGCAAGTAAAACCAAATTACTGCAAAATGAAAGAAAATGAACTCCAATTTCTAAATGCACAATCTATCTATCTAAACTATATAAAGGCACGAAACTTCAACACATAATATTTTATCTATTTTCTTTTACCTTTCTTCGTACGTGCATTCAATATTAGAGAATTCCACTTAAAAAGAATGTTAGAGAAAATTCTGTTACCTTTGTCAAAAAAAGAATGTTAGAGAAAATTGTAATTACAATTAATTATAAAACTTAATTATTTCATTCTATTTCACATATGACCTTTAGGGTTTCTTCATTTATTAAGCTAGCTAAATAGGATGAACATTATCTGATTCAGATATGTACATTTTTTGCATCAAATCATTGCTTTATCTGAACTATCAGAAAGTCCTATTTTGAATCATCTTCTATAGATCCTTTCCTTATTTGAATTCTATAACAAGATAACGATTTTGTGAAAGATAAGTGAAAGCATAGCTATTCCCTAAGTTGCTCGGACTCTTCACTTTGGTGTCGCACCTGTGTCGACACGAAATGGGTGTGTGTGGTATCCATGTCTGATTCAGTCAACCAATTTTGGGTACTTTGACTAAAATCAATAGGGAAAGTTTGGACAGTTTTAATGATTTTTGCAATCAATACAAAAGCTAAGGTAAGATTGAAGAAAATGGAATACCTTTTATCTAGAAATTTCTATGTCACTCCTTTTCATTTATTCTCCTTCCAAGATTCTCCTCAAGTTCTCCAAAATAATATCTCATAATTTAGGCTTTATAACTGTATTTTTTTAGATGCTTTAATTATTTTTAGGTGAACCCTGCACCCATAATCATACATGGATCCATATCCCTGAATCTTAAAAATTAGATCATGAAGGATCCTACCTTTAGATCCGCAGCCGTATCCAACTCCAGGTTGTAGATTTGGAATGTTTTTTGTGAATTATAACCAATTAATATTCTTGATATAAAAAATAAAAATTGAGAAAGACCAGACCCTTCAGGGTGGCCCAGTGGTTTGGGCTTGGGACTTGCATGTTGGAGGTCTCAAGTTCGAAGCCCCTTGCTAGTGAAAGCAACGGGTTTGCCTTCTGGGTCGAGCTCGTCGCACCGGGCTTGCCTAGTGCGGGTTACTCTCCTATGTGGTTTGCGAGCTATTGCATAGAAGCGGGGTTCTACCTAGTGCTCACCCAAAGGGTAGCGGCTTCGGGTTTCCCTTGTCATCAAAAATAATAATTGAGAAAGACCAAGTAGAAAACTATAGCAAAAGTTGGTTTGTCTGTTGATGCATCGATTTTCATTATTCTTAGTTATAGATTTATAATTAATCATAAGATTAAAATTAATTCATTTTATATACAACAGAGCTCAGCTTTACCAAAAGTGAAAATGCAGATCAAAATCACGATAACGGAAGACTAAATAAGTGATTTTCCCAAGTTCACCGGATCTCGAGACATTGGTGGTTGACCAGTGCTATCACAGACCAATAGTAAGTTTCTTTTGTACCTTTATTTTTGTTACTTTATGTTATCAATGTCAAACAACTATTAGTTGAAGAAGAAGACGATATATCAACATATTTCTGATCTCAAGTACACTAGGAAATAAATCATAAAACTTAATTAATCATCACCTTAGTGGCATATTTCACAGATAATGCTAAAAGGTTACAAAGAGGGGATTTGACTGCATTACCTCTTACTGTTCCAATGCCCTAAGAATAGAGTTATGAATCAACTCTTCAATTTCTTCAATAATAGGTTCATAGTGCCAAGAATGTTTTGTGACTTGCTTTACAACATCCACATTATATAGAGTCGGGTTCCACCAGCATTTTGTTTCTTACCAAGGCTGGGATTCTATCTCACATATCGTACATCTGTTTGAAGCGGTGACATCTAATGACCAGCCATATACAACTGTCCTTATGTATTGAACTATACTATGCTATCACTCGTATTTGTATAAAAACTTTTTACTTTGTTTGTTGGATCTTTAGGTATTCCCTTCAACCCTTTAGTTACTAGTTGTGGAGTTTTTGCCCTTTGCTTCTGGCTTTGATGAAGGAAAATAGTCAAAAAAGTTCCTCTTAGAACGCGAGCATTGAGGCTTTCATCAATACGATATTATTTGTTCCTTACTGGTCTCTTTTGTCCTAGTCTGCAACTGCCAGCTGCATCTAGTTTTACTTATCCTAGATTAGGTTTGCACCATTTTACATTAGTGCTTGTCCATCGATGTGGGAATTCTCTGTATGTTCACACGAAATTTCTCCAAGTAATACGTAATTCAAATGCTGGAATTTCATTTGAAAGCTGCCTTGCAAGGATTTCGGAATTTACTTTTTAGTCTTGAGGTTGATGGTTTCTCTTTTCTAAATCTGCAGCAGCTTGTGCTTATTATTCTGTTTTATGCAAGACTTCTAAAGGAATTTTTATGTTCTCTCAATTTATTTCCCTTGTTTGGGTTGTTAGCAGTTATTCATTTCTGAGTAGCATTGTATTTCTCTGATCATTATTTAAGAAGGATTGCTTATGTTGTGTGATTTATGTTCATATTGCTGTCCTGGTCATGTTTCCTTACTATCGAAGTTTAAGGTTTGAAATCCTCGAAAACAGTTTTTCAAGAATCGTTACATGTTCAAGGGCTTGTTTTAGTTGGCCTATGTTATTAACACAAACAAAAGAAAGGGCAGAATTTCTGCACATTAATTTGATTATGACATGAGTGTTTTGCTTCTGTTAGATTGCTCTTCTTTTACTTGATTAGTCTTCTTTTATTTTGCTGTCATTTTCTTTTGGGGCTTTTGGGCTCTTCTCATAATGTGCTTTGGCTTTTGAGATATTTGACTTTTGGGGTTGACTAATTCTTGGCGTGTAGCCTCTAAATTTGGTGTGATATGATCCTAAGCTGTGATATATTTTTGTGTTGGGATTTTTAACTTTGTTACGGAATCAGTCAAATATGCTCTCTCTGTTTCATTTTATTTGGTACTTTTTTTTCTTTTTGTCGATTAAAAAAGATAAGACACCTTTTCTATTGAGGAAACTATTTAATTACACTTCTTTTGTATTGGAAATTTTATTTAGTTCTTACATTCTATTTTACAGTTGATGACACTCTCTTATAACCGTAAGATTTTAAGAGCATTTTTTGACATGTTATACATATTTGCATTATTGCATTGTCAAATATATTTCTTTTTTTATATTCAATATCGTGTTAAATACTATTATATAAAATAATATAACTAGAGCTACCTTGGT